AACATGACAATAGGTGGTGATGATGTTGAACCATCTCATTAGCAATATTTGTTTAATTTAATCCAAGAACGAAATATTGCTATACAGAGTCCAAAGCTTAAAGTTATTGGAAGCATTTTATCCAACTCAGAATTAAATAAAAAAGTGAAAGGCCCAGAGAATATTTCTGTTGTTGTGTTTTTACCCCAGTGATATAAATTTAACTAGCTGAAATCATATTCTAAGTATCAGACATTTACACCGACTCTGAAGTGGCAGTTACCTTTGCATATTGAAATTACTTGGGGCTTGTTTAATGAGAAGCTTATCCATTAAGAACCCCACTGGATACAGAATTAATTGCTGGGGAAAGCATCCAAAGCAAGAGAACATCATGGTCCTTGCCCTAAAGGAGCTTACCATGTAAGCAGGTGAAACAAATATGAACAAAGCAAGGAAAAAAAAGCAAATAAATTATGAGTGTAGATTAATTTACAGCCCTTTGGTAGAGTCAGCTAGTTGCCCATTGAAATCTGAACTTCCTTTCAACCTTAGGAACAGTTGTCCCTGAGACTACACTTCCCAGGTCATTTTGCACTTACGTGAGACCATGTGACTAGTTGGCCATGTGACCTCATTATGGTCAATGGAATGAGGGCAGAATAGATGTGGGCCACTTTGGGCCTGGCCCATATATGCCTTATCCTTTCTCCCCATGGGCTGATGTAAGAAAAATAATTATATGCATATAATAATACATTATATATAATGGTATGTATTATATCTAATTATATAAATATGTATAATATATATTTGTATTATATAAGGTATAATATATATTTATATTATATAATATATAATACATTATTATATATCACATGTTATATAATATATAATTATGTAAAATATATAATTTTAATTTTATGTAAAATATAATATATAACATACAAAATCGTATATTATGTTATATGTCAATTATATATTTTATATTAATTATAATATAAAAATATATAATATACATAATTATATATTATGCAATATATTACATATTATATAATTATATATAGTGTAATATATGTAACACATATATAAATATGCATACTGTAATATAGATAACATATATGTACACATATATATTTATATATTATATAAATATAATATTGTCTTGACCCAAGTTTTGAGGCCCTGGCTTAAGGCTGGTCAGTTCTGCTTCTTGATTAGCTGATTGAGTCCACAACCCCAATCACTCAACCAATTCCCTTTTTGGGCACTCATATGGGGCCACTGCCCTGGTTGCCCCGAGTACCAGACAACCAGAGGTAACCACTATGCTCCACAGCCCCCTGAAATTACTCAAATCAGACAGTTCACAGGGAGTTCACAAAACCTAGCTAACCCCATTCCACTTGCCGTACATAAACAGGCCCAAACAGTCCTGGTGCAATCTCTGTGTGGCCCTGTGTGGCAGTCTTTTCTTGTTTGGAGCTGTAAGTAACAAAGAATTCTACCTTTCATCTATCCAAATGCCACTGTGGTGTGTCCAGCCATCTTTAAATCTTATAAAACAGCTGAAATGGCAAAGACCAGAAACTCTTGGAAACCATGTGTTGACTGGAACAAAGTTGCTTTCTGCCTGGGTTCCTGAAGGACTGCTGTGCCCCAGCTCCACTCATCCTCAACTCCCCAATTTGTGCCCCTCCCTCATCACCCTGGACTGTCCTATGAGAGAGAAAGAAACTTCTATTACATTGGAGTCATTACATGTTTTGCCTTATCTGTTATGGCAGTTTAACCCACCCTAATTATCACAGGAAACCAGCCAACTCGCAGCTAAGGATATAGTGTGGGATGAGGAAACTTCCAGGGAGGGACAGAGGGGGCTCTTATCCCACCTCCTATGAGGAGGGGAAGCTCTGGAGGGGAGCTCAAGGTTGCTCTTTAACAAAACGGCAAACGAGTTTAGCAGTTAACATTATTGCACATCCCTCCCTTCTTCGTCCAAGGGAAAGCCTTCAGTCAAAGAACCCCTTATGAGACAGATCTTATTATTTCTATTTTTCATGGTATTCTCAAAGTTAACTCCATCTCATTAAGCCCCAAGTTCATTCCCACTTTCTAACCGCTTTGTTTATCTTTTTTCTCGCATCCTGTGAATTTCAAATTAGTTCCTAATTACCCTAGTATTACATAATCTCCTCACCACCCCCGAAATAATAAAAGTCATAGCAATAAAACTAAAGTATTTTTGACCACCCTTCCCAAACAATTCAATCTGCTCACGCTAACCTGGATGTAACCCCACTGCGGTGAATCATTTCAGACTTTTTTCTTTTGTGTTCATATAAATCCATAGAAAATCTATGGTATTGCCTTTCCATAAATTGTATCTTGCTGTACATTGTGTTCTACAATTTGCTTCTTTTGCTCAGCAACAATGTTTCACAGAGCTCTCCTGTTCTTAGGTGGAAATCTAATTTATTCCTAATGGCTACATAGTGTTCCTTAGTATGACTAGACCACAATTTATTTAGTCATTCCATCATTCAGCTTATTTCCAATTTTCCACTTTTAGAAAAACATCTGCAGTGAATATCTTTGGATCTACTTTCCTGAGCACTTACTATGTGCTAGGTGCTCTTCAGGAATAATGCCATTCCCCTTAATGGTTGTGTGAAGTAAGTACTGGCACCATCTCTGTTTAGTAGTAGACGAAGTAGACGAAGTATCCAAGTGAATGCATCAGGGTTTCTTTAGGGGTAGATGCTGAACAGTGCAATTGCAGGATCCCCCTCTCGTCTTTTTTTTCCTTTTTTTTTTTTTTTTTGAGATGGAGTCTCACCCTTTTGCCCAGGGTGGAGTGCAGTGGCACGATCTCGGTTAACTGGAACCTCTGCCTCCCAGGTTCAAGCAATTCTCCTGCCTCAGCTTCCCGGGTAGCTGGGACTACAGGCGTGTGCTGCCACGCCCAGCTAATTTTTGTATTTTTAGTAGAGATGGGGTTTCACTATGTTGGCCAGGATGGTCTTGATCTCTTGACCTTGTGATCCACCTGCCTTGGCCTCCTAAAGTGCTGCGATTACAGGCGTGAGCCACTCTGCCCAGCCTCCCCTCCTTGCTAGTGGTGGCCTGTTCTAAAAGTGCCTGGGATTTGTTTTAATTAGGTATGTTAAGACACACAGACATAGAAATGACTGTCATGAAGGAAAAAGTTTTTAGAGTCAGAGGTGCCTAGAGGCAGGGGTATGACACACCATGCAGGGCCACGTGGGGAAGCACCAGGTAGGTCTAGAGGCAGGAGTGAGAGTGTGGTGGGGAACATGGACAAGAGCCTTTATTGTACTTTCACGGGAAGGAATAGGTGAGGCAGTGTAAACAGATTTAAGATGGGCTAGTTTGAATGGCTTCAGCAGACTAGTTTGAATGGCTTCACTGGACTCTGGGGCATAGGGGCTGTGCGTAGTTGTCTGGTACCTGGACCTGGGGTGATAAGGGCCAGAGAATAGTGGTCCTGAGTGTGACAGCTCATAGAGGAGGGTGGGAGGGGGTGTAGTCTACCAACTCTAGGAATTGTCTAGTTCTGGGAAGGGCAGCCCCTTGAGGGTCACCAAGGTCCCAAATGTCAAAGCATCAAAATACAGAAAATAAAAGACATGGTCAATACACAGGAATTTATAATCCTACCAGCAGAATATTGGAGCTCCCTTTTCCCTGCATTATCACCAAACACTTGATATTATCAAACATAGTATTTGTAATCCATCTGATGGGTGAAAACAGTGTCTCTTGTCTTAATTGGCATTCCCCAATTAATTAATGATATTGAGCACCTTTCACGTATCTATGGGCCAATGGGCAATAGTCCCTTTCTGGTTCACCTCTCCAGTTTCTTCCCACCCCTCCATGGTCTTCTCCCTCGGTCTGCAGACACAAGCTACACTTTTCTGTATGGCTTTCTAATGCAGTCCGAGTGCTTCTCAGAAGTTTTATCTCTTGGCATTTTCCAACTTGCATTCTAAATTCTAACCTTGGTCTCTGTCCTCAACCCTTCCCTCCTGACCTTTGCACAAGCTATTCCTTCTGCCTAGAAAACTCACTGTATATCCTTTCCCCTTCATTTCTGACACACGCACACACACACAGACACCCTCATATGACATATGAGGTCACCTCCAGGACCCCTTTCCTACCACCTTCTCTTATGTACTTTCCAATTACAGCAATTACCCCATGACTGTATAACTGCAGGTTTGTCTTTCAACCCTCCCAATAGATTATAAACTTGTTAAAAGTAAGGATTGTGTTTTTGTTTTTGTATTCTCCATACCTGGCACAATGACTGAAATATGCTCGGTACACAGTAAGTGCACTTCGAATGGAAGGAAGAATGGATGGGAGTGTGACTGAATGAGCTTATTTATCCTGTTCCACACTCCAGCCCCTGAAGCTTGTCTCCTTGCTGAGTGTGTAGTCTCTCCAAGGCAGAGACAATGGGTGAATCAGATACTTTGAAAATTCTAGATTTACACCCAAACACAGCATTTGGTACCATGCCAGGCTCATGTTCTGGTATGTTCTGGGCTCATTAAAGGGTTTGTGGTTGATTGTGTGTATTCCTGGGTGTGCAGGATTGAGGAAAGCCAGAAGAGAAGAACAACTGGCTCCAGTTTGGTTTTCAATGTCAGTAAGAGATTGGTGCGAATGATTTATTTTCCTTTGAATATTGATTAAGAAAAATAAGTCACCATCTCTATCTTCATACATAAGGTGCCATAGACTGCCAGTTTCCCATGTCCCCTCCAATCCATTCTCTTCTTTCTGGTCTCCAGGCTGTCCAATAAAGACTACATTTCCCAACTTCCCTTGCAGCTAGGTATGGCCATGTGACTAGGTTCTCAGTAATGATAATGTGAGAGAACTAATTTGTGTAACTTCTTCCTCATTTGCCTGAAAGAAAATTGTTACCTTATACTTTTCTTTTCTTTCTCTCCATACCACCCCCCAACGGCTTTCCTTTGGGCCAGACCCCAGAAATGCCAACGATCCAGCTTCAATGATGCAAATGAAGACCTCAGGGAACAACAGAGTAATGAGAGAAGGAACCTAGGTCCCTGAATGACTCTGGAGCAGATATGCCCCAGACATTTTACCATGCCCCGTACCTCCAACGGTAAGAAATTTACATATTTGAGAAATAAACTTCCATTTAGTTTACTATATATTTGGAACACTTTGTTACAACTTAGCCCATACTGTAACCTACATTTTTCTTCTACCTCTTCCCAAATGTATTATTCTGCTTAGCGCTTAACACCATCTAGCACAGAAAATGTTTTCCTTCTTTTCTTCTCATCTGTCTTCCTTAACTAGAATAGTTCCTGGAAGGCAGGGTTTTTTTCAATTAGCAATAATCACCTCAGATAAACTTCATTGGCTATGATACTGCTACTGCACAAAGCTGAAGGCAGGGGTTTTTGTCTTTGTTCACTGTTGAACTCCCAGCATCTAGAAGAGTGTCCAGTTCATAGTAAGTGCTCAACTCTACATATAGAGTGAACTATTACTGGCCACCAAAAGTGAAATCATAATATATACCACGAGGAAAGAAGAGTGAAAACAGTGGGGAACTTCATGCATGGAGGGTAGACGGAAGGCATGTAATCAGACGAGGGGCACAGTCTCTAAGAAAAAAAGCCCCTGGTGCTCTCCTGTCTTTGGGAGGAGGACTCTGAGGTTTTGCTTTAGTTCCTGTCCCCAGTGGTATGGGTTCTGGAGTTGAGAGAGGAAGAGAGATAAAGTCAGGTTTCCGTACCTGCTCCCACTTAATAGGAAGTAAACCATATTCTCTTCTACATTCCATCTACCCTCATTTCCTTCCTCTTCTTCAGAAAAATATATAACAAAATAAATTCAAGATGACTCCTTTTGTAAACTCCCTTAGGTAGAAGGTATTCATAGAAATAGCTGTGGAATGGCAGAAAAACTATTAGGAAGAAGTTGAACTTTTTTTTTTTTTTTGAGACGGAGTCTTCGCTCTGTCACCCAGGCTAGAGTGCAGTGACCCGATCTCGGCTCACTACAAGCTCCGCCTCCTGGGTTCATGCCATTCTCCTGCCTCAGCCTCTCGAGTAGCTGGGACTACAGGCGCCCGCTACCATGCCCGGCTAATTTTTTTGTATTTTTAGTAGAGACGGGGTTTCACCGTGTTAGCCAGGATGGTCTCGATCTCCTGACCTTGTGATCCGCCCTTGGCCTCCCAAAGTGCTGGGATTACAGGCGTAAGCCACCGCGCCCGGCCTGAACTGTCTTAACTTCAAATCTGAGGCTTTCATTGGCTGGATGGTCTCCAAAAAAATGGATTGACCTCCTTTGTCTTCACCATCCTCACCCATGATGAGTATGTTTCTGTTTTATATTTTACACTTTAAAAAATATACTGTATTTTTGTTGTGGGATGTTACAGGCTCAATTGTGTCCCCCCCAAAATTTATAGGTTGAATCCCTAAGCCCCAGTACTTCAGAGCATGAATATATTTGGAGACAGGGTCTTTAAAAGGGCAATGAAGTTAGAATGGGGTCGTTAGGGTGTTCCCTAATCGAATATGACTGGTGTCTTTATAAAAAGAGGCGAAGAGGACACAGACACAACAGAGGAAAGACCATGTGATCACACAGGGAGAAGATGGTAATCTGCAAGCAATGTACAGGGACCTCAGAAGGAACAAACCCTGCCGGCACCTTGATCTTGGACCTCCAGCCTTCAGGACTGTGAGAAAATAAATGTCTGTTGTTTACGCCACCCAGTCTGTGGTATTTTGTTTTGGCAGCCCTACAAAAATAATACATGGGATAATGTAGAAAATGATTAATAATAATAACATATGTAATAATAATAACAATATGTTATGCTGTAGTTGCCCTCCAAATGCTTGTCTTCTTCAGTTGAATTAATAGAAGCAAGTTGTTTAAAATGCAGAAAGCAACACTACTGGCCTGTACTGGTCAGAACCCACAGAACGAAAGTAGGGCCTCTTTCTGGAAACAAACTTTGATTGTTGGGGGTGGATGATCATTGAGAAACTGGGTTAGAGAAAGGCCACAGGCTGGTGAAAAGTCTGGGAATTGCTGCACTGAAGGAAATGGCTATGCGTGACCCAGAGAAGAGAAGACTCAAGGGAACATGAAGCCATCTCCAAAGCCATGAGATGCTCTCCTAAGAAAGAGGAATTCTATTTAGCTGCGTGGGCCCACAGGGGAGAGCCAGAATCAGTGGGTAAAGGTTTCAGGGAAGTAGATTTCAGTTCAATATAAGAAAGACTTTTCTAAGAGACCTGCTGGCAAATATAAACAGGCTACCTTGATAAGTATTCAATGAGGCTGAATGATCACTTATTAGAAATGTCAGAGAGGAGACTCAAGCATAGATCCCATGTTTGGATCAGATAAACTTGAATGTTCCTTTCAGTCCCAACATTCTCTGTAAAAATAGATTGTACTCCAGCCAAAGAACAGATTTCAACAGCACTTGGATATACCTCTTACAATTGTTAAGAACATGTGCATGGTCAACAAATATTTCTGACCGTCATTGATCTGGTGGATATTTAAAAAGATTTAGAAATTTTACTAAGAAAGAAAAATGGAATAAATATTCAAACTGTAGAGACAGTCACAGGACCTTGGGAAGGTGGAAGGTCCCCTACTAATATTTTGGGGTCCCAAAGTACAAGCTGTAGCAAAGCTGGACTTGTGCTAGTCAAAATCTTGTTTATTTTGTGTAAAGCTGCCATCTCAAGTTCACACACACGCAAAAACAAAAAACAAAATAACGGAGCTTAACTTATCTACTAAAAGCTAATCTATCCTGAAAGAATGTGTTAAAATCACTCCCAGTAAGAGTTGACACAGTAAAAGCTGTAATTTCCCAACTACCATCAGTATGTGAGATTTTGGGAAAGTCGACAGAAGCAAGGGATGATTTGGTAGCTGTATCAGGCACATAGTTTTCATATCCATAAATTGCTACAGAGTCATGGAGTGTCACTGGTTCTAAACTGCGGCGGGTGGACGCCACCTCATTACCTGACACCTCTTAATCAATGCGGCTGGAATGCGGGCTTCCCTATCTTGAAACCGACCGCAGGCGGTCAGAGCCGGCAGGGAGTGAGAGCTGCAACCACTGCGGGCTGAGCTCCGACAAAAGAATCGGCGCAGAGAGAGGGGACCGACCAGGCCAACTCTCTCCACTTGGGGCTGGGAGGGCAATTACCACCGACCCCTTGGCTTCCGATCTAAGACCCCGGAAGCCTCCCCTCCTCCAGATACCCAACCTGCGTGTCACCGATCACCCGCCACCCCCGCCTCCCCGCCCAGGGGAGCGCCTCCCAGGCCGAGGCTCCGAGGGGCCCGCGCATCTCCAAGACCGGACAGGGGTCCTCACAACGCCTGCGGCTGGCAGAGGGAAAATACCAAGGGTGCGGGGGAGGGGGAGAGTGTCTCTCAGCTGCCTCAGGTCGTCCTTCGGTCTCCCCGGGGACGCGCAGAGCCTCGGCGGAGGTGGGAGCGGGGAGGGGTTAAAGCGGGAAATTAAGAGACTTGAGCAACTGGCAGTGCTCAAGTTAACCGAGTCCGTGGCGAGCGTTCTGGGGATGGGAGCGGCCGGCTGCGCACTCGTCCCGGGTCTGGAGCCACCGCCGCGGCGCCAGTTCTAGGGCGGAGCGCTCTCCTGCGCCGCGCCGCGGGCTGGGGGCACCAGAGGCAGCGCGGAGGCCGGGGCGGGCACCTGACCTGGCGCGCAGCCTGGGCAGGGGCCGCAGTCCAGGGCCGGGGAAGGGGCGACCCAACTGCATGCTTGTGCGAGAGCGGCAGCCGGCGCCTCGCGGCCCGACAGGTGCAGGCGCGCGAGCTTCCCATTGGTCGCGGCGGCTGGCCCCTTACCCGTCCCCGCCCTCGCCGGTCGCCGGCCCCGCCGCGGCGCCGGCTGGGTGGGCAGAGGCGCGTGCTCGCGCGCCCGCGCACCCTTCGCCCCGTCCCCGCCCCCCACCTCACCCCGTCCCCGCCCCTTCCCTCTCTCCGCGCCGCCGCCGCCGCGCGCTCGCGAGTTCAGGTAGCGGGCGCGCGGGCGCCTCCGCGGGGGCGCGCGGCCGGGCTCCCGTCCTCCCCCCGCACCCGCCCGCTCGGGGGCGCCTGGGGAGGGAGCGCGCGGGCGGGGGAGCTGGAGCCGGGCGCCGCCGCCGAAGCTTCCGTCTCGTTCGCTCGCGCAGCGGCGGCAGCAGAGGTCGCGCACAGATGCGGGTTAGACTGGCGGGGGGAGGAGGCGGAGGAGGGAAGGAAGCTGCATGCATGAGACCCACAGGTAAGACCGAAAGCCCCGGAAGGGGCTTCCGTCCCGGGGAGGCGCTCGCAGGCCGGGGAGGGGGAGTTGGTGCCTGGTGCTGCTCCCCAAGGGAGAAATTCTTTTTTTTTTTGACAGCGCATTGAAATCTCAGTGGGGACTGGGGCAGTAGGATCCATCCCAATCCCGAGGAAAACCAGAGAAGTAGCTGGGGGAGACGGTGCCACGTTGTAAGATTCCCAGAGTGCAATGTATAGGCCCAGGGAAAAGTGTCCTCTCGGCCCCGAGACGCGGGGAGGCTTTAGACTTTCCTGTGGTGGGCACAGCTGCTGAATCCCGGGGACCGGCGCGGAGCCAATGTGCGCTAACCCCTGCCCTCCCTCCTGTCCTCCATCCCCCAGCACGCGCAGCATCCCACGGCGGCTGTTACTCAGTGCACCCGGCTCGGGGGAAGGCGGGGGAACTCGCCGTGGGAAAGGGGGCGGGGGCCGCGCGGGGGAGGAACCAGGATGGAGCCTGGGAAGCCGAGGCGCCGGGTCCCAGAGCGGAGGAGGGAGAGCGTGGCCCCCGAGCCCGGACAGACTGGCTTATTGTGGTGTTCCGCTTCTGGTTGCAGACCCTTGCAAGCTGGATGCCCTCTCTGGATGAAAGATGTATCATGGAATGAACCCGAGCATTGGAGATGGATTTCTAGAGCAGCAGCAGCAGCAGCAGCAACCTCAGTCCCCCCAGAGACTCTTGGCCGTGATCCTGTGGTTTCAGCTGGCGCTGTGCTTCGGCCCTGCACAGCTAACGGGCGGTGAGTGACCCAGCTGTGTTGGGAGGGCCTAGGGATGGCCCAGAGGAGAGAGAGAGCCTAGCTGCCAGGACAGCCTTGCACCCCTCCCCCATACACCCAGACTTCAGGAGGATCTGACAACGCGAGGGTGCCTGCGTCCCAGCCTATGGCCGTCCTTCTCCGAAACCGCTGGAGTTCCCTGAAAATTCCCCTGTGGAGCCCGCACAGATTCACACACCCACATTCTGTCTGGAGCTTCCCACCAGCCTCCGGGCCTGGCTTCTCCCAAGGAAAGACAATAAAGCCTGGCCCATTATTACCACTTTGGCCAAGAAAGGGGGGGGGCGGGGGAGTGATGTATTTGTGGACCTCTGACCCTTGTCAATGCCTTCAGCAGACAGAAGTCAGATTTCAGCCTCTGGATTTAAGCAAGAGTTGTAAGAACCACCTTTGAGAATGTGAAGGGTCTGGAAACATGGTCAGACTGGCTGAGGGGCAGGTTTATTTGAAAGTTAACTTTCCCTTTCCCTGCGTGTGCAGCGTGTCTGTGTATGTTGGGGGCGGGGAGGAGATGCAGAGGTGTTCTTTCAGGTGTGCCTCTGACAGTTTGCTTTGCTCATCGAGGTCTGATTTCGGGGAATAAAGTGAATCGCTCTTCTATGAAGTAGAAGTTAGCTGAAATAAAATTGATAGCCTCAGCCTCCGTGGGCGGCTAATCTATAACGTATTTGGTTCTGGGGGAGGGGTATCTTTTGATTGTGGTAGAGGAAGACAGATGGAGTTCCTGTCTGAATTTCAGAGCCTAGTCTCCCTGCCTCCACTGCTCATTGCTGTCCGTCATTACTGTCCATTGCAAACGTTCTCTAGAGCTTGTTGATATGGACGTTAGAAGGAGCTGAGATACTGTTAATATATAAATAAATTATAATTGGTTGAAAAGCAAGTATTGATAGCTATAAATAAACCATTTTAGCGTTTTAAAATATTGCTGTTTCAGAGAATTCGAAGGTGAAAATGGAAAAAAAAATGAGTGAAAAATTAGTAAAAGTGGAGGAGAGGTGTAACACGTTGGGCTTTAACACAGAGTAATCAATGACCCAGGCATTCCAACTTAGACTTCTGAAAGATGCCCAGAGTATAAAGGTGTTTATTGCAATATGCATATGTATCAAAATTAGTGAAAAAACTCTTGCTTTGGGTGGACATTGGTTTTTATTTTTATTTTTGTATATTTGTTTTAAGAAGGAATAACTTTTTGGGTGCTTGTAGTTTTTATAGAGATTTCTCTGAGGTAGGCTTCCTCTTCATGGAGGAAAAGGTCAAGTGTGAGGCCAGGCCAGCACCTGTGTGGCCTGCCAGGGCTCTGGTCACAGCCTCTGATCTGCCGTGGACACCAGCTCTGCTTCACAGATGAGTGGGAATAGAGGGGCAGAACAGTATTTGGTGAATCTGGATCATTTCCTCCCCTCCTCTCTGCTTTTGCCTCCCAGTTCTAGCTTTCATTCTCTCAAACCAGGTCCACGTGATTTTCCATCTTCTTGGTCCATTTATCTTCTGTAGATGACAGACTAGTGAATCAAGGTTCATTTACATTTGTCTTGACTATTGTTATTGGATGGGTGAGGTCTGAGCACAGCCGAGATTTGTTTTGTGCTCTTGGTTCTGCTTGGTCGTGTT